TCAGTCCGCGATGCATTTCATGGCTAGCTCAACAAAACTTCAACCAGCAGCTTGCATTCTGCACGTGAATCCCCCCCGTTGTCGGGATCTATCGCAGCCCAAGCTCGTCACACCAAGAAGATGAGGAACTTCTTCAGGCCTTGCGTGAAGCTGCTAGATCAGGATATCGGCTCTTGATTCTAGGTGATTTCAACGCGCCCACTGTCAACTGGGCACACCAATCATGTCGCGGAACTGGGTTTGATACGGCTCTGCTCATCACCGTATCCCGTCTAACCCTGACGCAGAATGTGATGGTACCTACCTAGACAAGACCCGGAAAAGTACCCTCCACTCTAGATCTCGTTCTAACGAGAAACAACAATGACGTCGTAGGAATAAGGAGCGGAGTTCCTTTAGGCAAAAGCGACCACTCACCGGTGTTCTTCAAATTTCACCGAGTAGACACCCCGAAGCCCAAAACTGGAACTCGAAGATTCCACAACATCAACAGTGATGACGTGGTCAACGAAGCGCAGGGACTGTGCTGGGACAATCTGAGCTCTATCGAGGACACCTGGAATCGAATGAGGGACAACATTGTACTCCTCACGGAAGTCGACGTTCCTGTAAAAACAACGGAGATAAGGGGACACAAACCTTGGTTCCGACCTTGAGTCCACCGAGCGCTTAATAGGAAACATCAGGCATGGATGGTATCCAACAGGCATCGAAGCCGCCTGCTCTTTGCTCGCTTTTAACGTCTCCGCAATAAAGTTATCAAAGTAGCACGGGAAGTTAAACTCAAGTATGAACTAGCCATAGCCAACGAGGCCGCAAAAAAACCCAAAAGATACTTCGACTACGCTCAAGCCTGGTCCTCATCAAGAAAAGTGATCGGCAATGCCTTTCACATCAATGGAAAACTCTTGACCACCGACAAGGATATTGCTGACTCGCTCCTCGCCTCGTTCCAAGAGGTCTTTCGCCAGGATAGCCTGGGCAACTACCCTACCCTCGATTGAGTAAGCGACATGCCAGATCTGGTGATATCTACACCGGACGTGGAAAGAGTCTATAAGACTCTTAAAATCTCTCAATCCGCGGGTCCAGATAATATCCACCCAGCCGTCAAAAAATCGATAGAATCCTTAATGATCCCCCAACTAGTGACAATGGCACACAATGGCACGCTCTAACCAGGTAGCTGTGTACACTTACTTAACCTAATACTACCAGTACACGGAACCAGCCTCAAAGCTGGATTCGTGGAACGCAATCCTGCGTGGTATATACTTTCACATGTTTTGTGATCTAATGTTCTGTTGTCGACTCCGGTACCCTGTCATTTTAGTACAATTTTCTTGGTGTCCACTCATTTTATGTTTTTTTCCCGCTGCCTGCTCCGTTTCTCGCTCTCCTTCCCCTTTTTCAGCTGGGTACTACCCCAGACTGCTGCATATCGCCTCTTTATCCAGATTCGTTTGGTTTGGGCCTGATGAAGGCTTGGGTTCCTAACCCGCAATGGACAATTTGGCTCCGGCAATGGTTCTTGGGCACGGCTGTTTCCACCGTTTTGACTACACGCTTCCGCGTTCCGGACCAGGTTGAGGATTACACCCTCTGCCTCACCTTTAAGGTGTTTTAAGGTTAGGTGTCTAGATGGTAGTCAGTCCCACATCAAAGCGACCAACACCTAATTAATATAAATAAACCAAACCACTCGTTGATTGATTGAAGCCCCGAACCCAATGAACTTGTCTCCAAAAGCGAGTTGTATTGCAGCATGGAGTGAAACATGTTACTTTACCGACGTATTATTCTGCTGTGTTCCTCGCTTTCTTTTCCTGTCCTTATGCCTCTACCATCGGGCAGCATTTGTATTACAGACCTCTTCTTCGTATTTCCTGCACTTTTGCCGTACGGCCAATCCTTTCGAGACCAGCTTTACTATTACTTGCAGTTCTAGTGACATGTATTTTTCACTGCATTCTCCATCCTTTATAAATTCGTCTATGACCTTGTCCGGTTTGCGTTCCTTTCACTCTGTGTTTTCATTCTGACCCCCACCATTTTTTAAATTTTATTATTGTCACGCTGTTATTGTACGTATACTCGCTCTGAACATTTGATCATGCATTGGGCATATATCACGGGCTTCGTCAAATATACACCTATTATTATCATCATTATAATTGTTCAACAACTCTCTGAACACGGGCCGGACTCCGGAGGACTGGAAAAATACCACAGTTGTCCCAATCTTTAAAGGGGGTAATCAATCGGATCCGTCCAACTATCGTTCGAGCGGTCTCACCAGCATCGTTCCGAAGCTCCTGGAGCGTATTCTGCGAGACTACATAAGCGCGCACCCTCTTCAAATCGGATTCTTTTGTAACGCCTAACACGGAGTCATCAAAGGCAGATCTTGTCTAACAAATCTGTTATGTTTCCTAGACGTAGTAACACAGAAATTAGACGAGGGAACGGAAGTCGACGTGTGCTACCTGGACTTCCAGAAAGCATTCGACTCAGTCAACCACAGGTTGTTAGATTTCAAGCTCCAAGAAACTGTGCTTAATCCGAAAGTCGGTAACTGGGTTAGAGCGTTCCTGTCCGGGCAGACCTACAGAGTTCGTGTGCGGAGATGTCTGTCGGAAGTGGGTTTCCCCACTAGCGGAGTTCCACAAGGATGCATCCTAGCTCCCCTTCTCTTCCTCGTCTATGTCAACGACATAACGTCAGGTTTGGAGAACCCCTGCTTTTTGTGCGCGGATGACATCAAATTAGTTGGAAACCCGGACGACAGATACTCCCTGCAGAGTGATATCTTAAAGATATGCGAGTGGTCGCAAAAATGAGATCTCCCACTCAAAGCATTGAAGAGTTATCTGCTAGCCAAAATAACGCATCCCGTCCCTCGTCGGATCCTCACAACGGCCGGAGCATACGCAACCCTAGCTTACAAACCAGAGGCAATGGACCTCGGGATAAGAGTCCCCAACACCTTTTCCCCGTCCTCTACGGCTGTAGCAGCGGCAGCCTTAAAAGCAAGGCGAGTTCTGTTTAGACTCCGAACGGCAATCATTAACCGTTGTCCTAGTGTATTCATGCCCCTGTACCCTGCCATCGCAAGGCCTCACCTCGAGTACTGCGTTCAGGCTTGGGCACCGCATCTCTAGAAGGACATCAAAGTTCTAGAAGACGTTCAGCGGCTAGCAACCCGGATGGTCTGGGGTCTAAAAGGACCTCAACTACTCGGAAAGACTGAACTCCCTGAACCTGTTCTCTCTAGAACGCGAACGGTTGAAGGGGGACCTCATTGAAGGGTACAAAGCTACCAGGAACATGGAGCAGTCCCCCATTGGACAAGGGGACCTCATTGAAGTGCACAAAGCTACCAGGAACATGGAGCAGTCCCCCATTGGTTACCTGTTCACTTTGAGGGCCAACAACATCCTCCGAGGGCACTTTTACACACTAGAGAGAACCAGGTGCAGGCTAGTAATTAGACATCATTTCTTTGCAAATAGAGTAGTCCCTGCATGAAACAAACTACCAGCTCGAATAGTTGAATGAAGGATTTCAAACTAGAGCTGGACAAGGAGTGGTATCTCTTATTCCCAGAACTGCCCTAGGGATCAGGGCCCCCTAAGTTTACGGATGGAATGCATATAACAAATACTGCGCCGTCTCCCTTTCCCTTCTACCTTCCAGATATTATTCCCTCGTGGAGAGTTGGAAGAAGCTTT